CCCGCCCCCAATGCAGAGGATTAGTCTGCTCTTAATTGCCACGTGGTAAGCCCACTTATCTTCTTCTTGGTTCTTTCGGTAAAGTCACGTAGAAGGGAAGTAATAAAAGAATAAAAATAAAACATAATAAAATAATTCTCACGACGTTTCGGCCACAACGCAAGCAGCCGTCCTCAGGTGAAAACCAGGTCTGTCGGGGAGACAGCGTCTGAATGAAACAACACTATGCTTGGAGCGTATATTTAAGCTGGGTTGGAAGGGGGTAAGGGCGCCTTGACAAAATAATTTGCATATCAAGAGGAATTTAGCATATTTATGGGAAATGCAGGTATGTGATTAGTACTACTTGTGAAATGCGTAGGAGGTGGGCGGGGGGTTTCGAAGTCCTATTATGCCTGTGCATTATGCAGGATTAGCAGCATCAAAAAAATCCAACTTATCTTAGTAGCAAAAGCAGCTTCATATGTTACGGGCCCAGCACTTTCAAGGGCTCCCGCGCTAAATGCTTTCAAGCTATCAATTCCGGTTCAGTGATTCTGCACTTGCTCTATTACTATAGTACTATACCGCCTTCGACTTTTATGAACGACCGGGTGTTTAAGGTTAGCGGTTTGTCATATTATCTGGCTGTAAAGCAAATGAAAAAATACATTTACTTAACTATGCAAGTGAAAAATGTGTGTGTTTTAATATTTTTATTTATTTATGGCCCCTTTATAACATCATGCTACAGGCTTTACCTGGCACTGGTTGAAGCTATCATTTGTGGTCAATGTCGCTTCTGAAACAGCTACACAATATTCTTAGGTTTTTTTGGTAAAGTCACGTAGGTAAAAAACATTAAAAAGTAAAATAAAATAAAAATAAAAATCACGACGTTTCAGAGGCAACACAAGCTTCCGTCTTCAGGTGGTACCGTCACAGCCACGACAGCTGTATCAAGTAAATGAGAGATTGCAAAAGCTACCACTCCGTTTATATAATGGTTGGAGAAGGTGGTGGGGCAAGGGCCACATACTTTTATTAATATGGTAAGGTGAGGCTTGAGACTAAGAATAGACTGCATAACAAAGGCTGAGCCTTTGTTATGGAGAGGTGCGGTTTGTGACTCAACCTGTAACAGGGAGACCACCACTAGACATGGTAAAACTGTGATGGTTGTCTGTCAAATAAGATTGGCAAGTAAGTGTAGTTAAATCTTTTTTGCATGGTTAATCACATCTTTCCAATGATTACTCAGTTTGTAACCGTCATCTCGGTTGAAATGATGTCTGTGTTTGTATATTTGTATGGCCTCGTGTACAAACCTTTGATGGTAGCCAGGAGGTTTGCAGAGAACCTTGGTCTCGGAAAATACAATTTCATGAGAGCCCACCGAGTTGTAGCAATGATCGGCAACGGCTACACAATATAAGCTGATTGGGCCTTATCTGGTGAAATAATAAAAAGCCTACGTGTTAAACTGATTAAAAAAAGGTTTAGTTTAGGGACCGTCCATAAATGACGTCACGCACTGGGGGGAGGGGGTGTCAGACATTTGTGACGATTTATGACGATGTGTGACGAGGGGGGGGGGGTGGTGAGAAATGTGACGTCACATCAAAATGCGCAACTTTAAATAATTATAGAATTGTTATATCAACACTAATTGTTATAACAACACTCCTACAACATCAGAGTGCAGCGCCACATTAAATACGCACTACAATGACAATAGTTTAAAGCGATTTGAAGCATGTTTTATATTCAAAATGTATATATGTTTTTTTTTTGGGGGGGGGGGGGTAGAGCTTTGTGACGTCATATTTGAGGGGGGGGGTTGACTTTTTGTGACGCCGTGTGACGAGGGGGGGGGGGGGGTCAAAAATCGTCCAAAATCGCGTGTCGTCATTTATGGACGGCCCCTTAATAGGTTATGTAAAATTTTGATTTAAAGCTTTCGTGACTGCAGGGATTCATATTCTTGGTTCTTTTGGTAAAGTCACGTAGAAGGGAAATAATAAAATAATAAAATATAAAACAATAAAATTCTCCCGACGTTTCGACTGCAACACAAGCAATCATGATGATGTTATTTTGGTGATGATTGCTTCTGTTGCAGTCGAAACGTCGTGAGAATTTTAATTTTCTTGCTGTGGATTCACACCTGATGATGATTTCTTGTATTGCAGTCGAAACGTCATCATCAGGTGTGAATCCACAGCAAGAAAATTAAAATTCTCACGACGTTTCGACTGCAACACAAGCAATCATCACCAAAATAACATCATCATGATTGCTTGTGTTGCAGTCGAAACGTCGTGAGAATCGTATTGTTTTATATTTTTATAATTACTTTATTTCCCTTCTACGTGACTTTACCGAAAGAACCAAGAATATAGGTTATGTTCAATTAAATGTGTTGCAGTGCCGCTTGTTGAAATTTGAAATAAATAGTTCTTCTTGTTATTTTGGTTTCCGACCTCTGAACCGTGGACTGTCTCGTTCACCATGGAAGTCCAGTATAACATGCACTTCCACGGCTCCGGCATGCGGCTCACACAAGGGGTTGTTTCGTAACGTTGTTTATGAAAGGACGGTCTCGCAATCACCACGCACCCATTGCGGCTCTTCGACTCCACGAAGTTTACCCACTTCTGTATCTCGCGCCTCGCCTATTTGCCATGAACACAACAAAAAGGCCAAACAGTAACAAAAAATGTGTCACGTTTACCAGCTTAAACATATTCCTGCGGAGGGAGCTGGTAGGAACGTTGGGTTGCTCGGTCAATGGCCTGCAGGGTCAACGGCGGCGTGGTGTATTCCACAAATATGTCCGACTGAGGGCGGGCACCAGCCGGCGTGAGTAGGTTAAACGTTGAGTTTTATAAGGGCACCACGGGGTGATCGGCCCCTACCCACCCAGCCCACACCCTCCCCACCCAGCCCACACCCTCCCCACCCAGCCCCTCCCCACCCTCCCCTCCCCACCTCGCCCCTCCCCACCCAGCCCCTCCCCTCTCCACCCAGCCCCACCCCTCCCATTTTTAGATGCATGACGGACGGACACAATGATCCCTGTGGGCTGGTGTAACCAGGAGGTTCCTACCAGTAAATACGCTGCCAAGCTTAGCAGTGTTCATTAAGACGCTGTCTTTCCGACAGCTCTGTTTCTTCACCTGAGGACGGCTGCTTGCGTTGTGGCCGAAACGTCGTGAGAATTTCATTTTATTATGTTTTATTTTTATAATTTTATTATTTCCCTTCTACGTGACTTTACCGAAAGAACCAAGAATATGAATCCCTGCAGTCACGAAAGCTTTAAATCGAAATATTTGTCCTTTGTGTAAACGTGATACATTTTTTTCCCGTTCGGCCGTGTCGGGTGGTGGAGGGTTACAACACATTTATAAATAACGCGATCTAACCAAAAAAACTTTATTATGAATAATATTAGTTCGCGAAAGCCTATGTGTTGAACCAAAAAAAAAGGGCCATCGGCCGAAACGTCGTTTTGTTGTTGTTGTTGTTGTTTTAAAAGCCAAAGCGTTCGTGACGAACCGCGTTGATTTTATTGCCGTTGAACGCCGCGCTCACACATAAACACACGAACACGTGACTCGGGAGAGATTTAAACGGATTTAAACGGATTCATTAAAATTAATAAAAAAATAAAATAATATTATATAATAATAATAATTTTATTTTTTATTAATTTTAATTTCATTTTTTACCTACGTGACTTTACCGAAAGAACTAAGAGTATGAATCCTCGCAGTCACGAAAGCTTCAAATCTAGATTTAAACAGACGGAGCCACAGAGAAGTCGTTAGTAGACCCACGCCTCCAGCCACGCGGGATTGGCTCCGCAGTTTGAATGAAATCTCACGTGGTCAGCACGCCGGGGCCTTTAAACACAACGCGCGCTCCCATTGGCTGGCTGGCCACGGTGGGGGCGGGGCTCACGCGGAAAGGGGGCGGGGCTCACGCGGGAGGGGCGGGGAGGGGCACGAGTGGGGGAGAGGTGAAGCAACGCTAGGACCCCCCCCCTACTTTTAAGGGGTTGGCCGAGGCAAGTGCCTGACAAAAAAAATCCATACCACCTCGCAAAAACACAACAACGTTGACCAATATAATATTTTAATTGACAAGATTTATATTAAGCGCTATAATAAGCTCCCTCCTCCCGCTCGGTGCAAGTAAACGCCGTTTAGAGTTTAAGTTTAATTACATTTTCGACTCAGGCGCTTCGGGGTTCGAAGGACCCCGTCGCCCGGGGTAACGGCCGTTTAAAGTCGGGGTGGGGGGGGGTGTTTTTTGTCCCGTGGTGCACCGCGACGGGCTCGACCAATAAGAAGCGAGGCGGACCAACGGCTCCCGAGATTTAAAAAACCCGGCAGTGAACGGCAGCCGACACGGTGCGGGTCGCGTCCTCTCGCTCTCTCTCTGTCGTAATTATCTCCTGAGTTGTTATCTCTTCACCAATCGCGTCTCGACTCAACTACGAAGCAAAGCTCGAGTGTAGCTACCATCAGCTGTCTCTACGGGCAGGCACGGAAGCGGAGTTTGAAGTGGTAGTCGACAACGACGACGAGGTACGCGGTAGATCTGCAGGTAGGGTGCGAGAGACACGAGGAGATCGACACACGGACGAGGAGATCGACACACGGACGAGGAGATCGACACACGGACGAGGAGATCGACACACGGACGAGGAGATCGACACACGGACGAGGAGATCGACACACGGACGAGGAGATCGACACACGGACGAGGAGATCGACACACGGACGAGGAGATCGACACACGGACGAGGAGATCGACACACGGACGAGGAGATCGACACACGGACGAGGAGATCGACACACGGACGAGGAGATCGACACACGGACGAGGAGATCGACACACGGACGAGGAGATCGACACACGGACGAGGAGATCGACACACGGACGAGGAGATCGACACACGGACGAGGAGATCGACACACGGACGAGGAGATCGACACACGGACGAGGAGATCGACACACGGACGAGGAGATCGACACACGGACGAGGAGATCGACACACGGACGAGGAGATCGACACACGGACGAGGAGATCGACACACGGACGAGGAGATCGACACACGGACGAGGAGATCGACACACGGACGAGGAGATCGACACACGGACGAGGAGATCGACACACGGACGAGGAGAGCGACACACGGACGAGGAGAGCGGCGAGACAACCGCGATCGAGTGAGACGAGGCGAGGAACGGGAGAGGCGCCATGGCTGTCGTACTGCGGCCACAGCACGGAGCGGGGGGCGGTGGTGGCAAGTCTGCGGCGGCGTCTGCCCCCCCCGAGTTGGTGGTGAAGGAGATCCCCGAGCAGCTGTACGACCCGGGCACCAAGCGGCGTTACCAGCGAGGTCGCTTCCTGGGCAAGGGCGGCTTCGCCAAGTGCTACGAGATGACGGACGTGGCCACGGGTGAGGTGTTCGCGGGCAAGATCGTGTCCAAGACGATGCTCATGAAGCCCCACCAGAAGGAGAAGATGAGCATGGAGATCACCATCCACCGTTCGCTCGGCCACGCCAACGTGGTCAACTTCCACAGCTTCTTCGAGGACGACGACTTCGTCTACGTGATCCTGGAGCTGTGCAGGCGACGGGTGAGGAGGGTGGTGGTGGTGGTGGAGTGTGGGGGGGAGGAGGGTGGTGGTGGAGGAGGCTGATGGTGGTGGTGGTGGAGGAGGCTGGTGGTGGTGGTGGTTGGTGGGGTGGTGGAGGAGGGTGGTGGTGGTGTTTGCTTTGGAGGAGGGTCATGATGATGGTAGTGGTGGAGGATGATGGTGGTGGAGGAGGGTAATGGTGGGTGGTGGTGGAGGGTGATGGTGGTGTTTGCGGTGGAGGAGGGGGATGATGATGGTGTTTGCGGTGGTGGTGGAGGGTGATGATGGTGGTGGATGGTGGAGGGGTGATGGTGGTGATCGCTTAGCGCTGCGCTCCGAACCCGGCGACCCGAGTTTCGATTCCCGCTCACGGCCGCCACCACCAGGTGACGATTGTCTGAACCGGTTCTGGGCCTCTCCTAGATCGACTCGGCCTCAACGAGTAGCCGGTGCGGTGTGTAAAATCATCGCCCCAACCCCCTCGTGTGCCTGCATCGGGTTCTTTCGCTCGCTATCGGCACTTGCCACTAACCTTCTAAGCCTGCACGGGGGGTCTTTGTCTTTGTGCGGAGCGGTGGTGCAGTGGTTAGCGCTGCACCACGTGGGTGTTGTGGTACCGCAAACGCCTCGGACCCCGGTTCGGTTCCCGCTCACGGCCACCAACGCCGGTGACGATGAGCTGGGACTATGGTGTCGTCACTCCCGGTGGCACCACCCTCCCCTAGGTAGACTCGGCCATAAATGAATATCGGGTGCGGTTGTGCGTGTGAACATCGCCACTGGGGGAGACAAAGGCGGTCGGGCGTGGCGTTGGCTTTGCGAGGGGAGCTTTGCGTTGTTGGTAGTGGTGGTGGTGATGTTGTAATTAATACGTTTTAAATAAGAAACATAAACAGGCCCTGCATATGCCTTGTCCACGCCACCACTGGTAGAGAGAGGAGAGCCGAGGCCCTCCTTTGTGAGCTGATAATTATCATCTTCGACCACTCGTAACGAACGTGTCCCTCTCGCCTCCCTGGGGGTTGTACGAGGTGGGTCCTTGGCACCCACCACACCGAAGATCCCCACCCCGTTGTCAGCCTGACCCCAGAGACTGTCAGGGCTGCTCGTTCAAGGCCGAGTGGACCTAGGGGGGTCCCAGGACCGGTTCGGATTGACCGTCACGAGCAGGAATCGGTCCCCAATGTGGAAGTTCGATATCCGCTGGGGATGGAGCAGAGGGCCACTACCAAATACAACGCCATTGGTCACCGCGGTGCCAGGCTAGGTGCACTTTGAGGCTGCCACGTGAAGTGTTTTGAAGGCTCGCCGCCGGCGTGAGGTTGTCGGGGCAGACCCAGCAGGTGCCGTGGGTTGGCCGGTCAGATGCCCACTGGTAGATGCGCCACCAGCTGGTGTACCCCCTACTGTGCCAGGCTAGGTGCAGGAGATCTCGTGGCTGACCCAGCAAGTGCCGTGGGTTGGCCGGCCTGAGATGACCACTGGTAGATGCGCCACCAGCTGGTGTACCCCCCCTACTGTGCCAGGCTAGGTGCAGGAGATCTCGGGGCTGACCCAGCAAGTGCCGTGGGTTGGCCGGCCTGAGATGACCACTGGTAGATGCGCCACCAGCTGGTGTATCCCCCCTACTGTGCCAGGCTAGGTGCAGGAGATCTCGGGGCTGACCCAGCAAGTGCCGTGGGTTGGCCGGCCTGAGATGACCACTGGTAGATGCGCCACCAGCTGGTGTACCCCCCCCTACTGTGCCAGGCTAGGTGCAGGAGATCTCGGGGCTGACCCAGCAAGTGCCGTGGGTTGGCCGGCCTGAGATGACCGCTGGTAGATGCGCCACCAGCTGGTGTACCCCCTACTGTGCCAGGCTAGGTGCAGGAGATCTCGGGGCTGACCCAGCAAGTGCCGTGGGTTGGCCGGCCTGAGATGACCACTGGTAGATGCGCCACCAGCTGGTGTACCTCCCCTACTGTGCCAGGCTAGGTGCAGGAGATCTCGGGGCTGACCCAGCAAGTGCCGTGGGTTGGCCGGCCTGAGATGACCACTGGTAGATGCGCCACCAGCTGGTGTACCCCCCCTACTGTGCCAGGCTAGGTGCAGGAGATCTCGGGGCTGACCCAGCAAGTGCCGTGGGTTGGCCGGCCTGAGATGACCGCTGGTAGATGCGCCACCAGCTGGTGTACCCCCTACTGTGCCAGGCTAGGTGCAGGAGATCTCGGGGCTGACCCAGCAAGTGCCGTGGGTTGGCCGGCCTGAGATGACCACTGGTAGATGCGCCACCAGCTGGTGTATCCCCCCTACTGTGCCAGGCTAGGTGCAGGAGATCTCGGGGCTGACCCAGCAAGTGCCGTGGGTTGGCCGGCCTGAGATGACCACTGGTAGATGCGCCACCAGCTGGTGTACCTCCCCTACTGTGCCAGGCTAGGTGCAGGAGATCTCGGGGCTGACCCAGCAAGTGCCGTGGGTTGGCCGGCCTGAGATGACCACTGGTAGATGCGCCACCAGCTGGTGTACCCCCCCTACTGTGCCAGGCTAGGTGCAGGAGATCTCGGGGCTGACCCAGCAAGTGCCGTGGGTTGGCCGGCCTGAGATGACCGCTGGTAGATGCGCCACCAGCTGGTGTACCCCCTACTGTGCCAGGCTAGGTGCAGGAGATCTCGGGGCTGACCCAGCAAGTGCCGTGGGTTGGCCGGCCTGAGATGACCACTGGTAGATGCGCCACCAGCTGGTGTATCCCCCCTACTGTGCCAGGCTAGGTGCAGGAGATCTCGGGGCTGACCCAGCAAGTGCCGTGGGTTGGCCGGCCTGAGATGACTACTGGTAGATGCGCCATCAGCTGTACCCCCCTACTGTGCCAGGCTAGGTGCATGAGATCTCGGGGCAGACCCAACAAGTGCGTGTGTGTCCGTGTGCGCGGATACACAACAACCGCCATTGGCCACTAAGTGGCGGTGACGTCACCACGGCGCTTGTGCCAGGCTAGGTGCACGTTGAAGCCACGTGAAGTGTCGAATGCCCGCCGGCAGGAGGCCACTGACTGAGAGATGACCGAGATGAGTGGCTGATGCACCACCTGTGCCCCCCACTGTGCCAACTTTCACACGTGGGGACGAGTGTATCGTTCGTGATGGCCAGCTCGCTTCTTCAAGAGCTACTCAGCTCCTGGTGGACCTTGCCTGATAGAAACAACAAGCATAACCCGTAAAAACAAAGTTTTTCACTATAAATCCTTTATATGCGTGGCGGCTAGAGTCCTCTCGTCCTCTGGCTTGAGATGGCTGCCACCTATGGGTCAGATGATTGCATGGCAGCATTAGGCAATTGGTAATTAAATATAATATTTTTGTCCTAAAAAGTGTAAAATTTTGGGAAAAAATTTCACGAACATTAATTGTCACGCGCAACGAGTCTGTGTGCAAAATGTCAGCTCGATTGGATCACGGGAAGTGGGTTAAAAAACGAGCGAAAGATTTGCACGGTCCTAAGCAAGCAAGTGAACTTAATATAAAGGATTTAAAAAATAGTTTAGATTTGTAAGAGGGGGGGGGGGGGGGTGCACCCGGTGTCGTTATCGACACGGCAGGCGTTGGTTTGCGCTTTGTTTGGGCTCATTGCCAACGCGGGGTCGGACCGTGATCTCATTCTGTGCGGTGCTGGTGAATTGTGTAGTGGCCTCTGGCTGACTGGGTCGTAGGGGGGGAGGAAGCCGCCTTAACGATTCGATTAGCCGCAGAGAGGGGGGGGGGGGGGCTCCTCCATTTGAAGTGTCATTGGGGCCATGGTCAATCCACTGCTGGATGGAGGCCCCCCCCCTCTCTCTCTCTCCATCTCGCCATCTCACCACCGATGCCGCACACGAGCATCTTGATGTCACTATCGCTCCATCTCTCTCCGATGGGGGGTGGTGGGTCTGGTTCCTCTGAACGCTGTTCCCGTTAATTCTAGATTTGAAGCTTTCGTGACTGCAAGGATTCATATTCTTGCGGTTTTTTCCGGTAAAGTCACGTTGGTAAAAAATTAAAATTAATCAAATAAAATAAAAATCACGACCTTTCGGAGGCAACACAAGCTTCCTTCTTAAGGTGGAACCGTCACAGCACGCTTGCTGTATCATTAACTTGTTACAGCAAGCGTGCTGGGACAGTTCCACCTGAAGACGGAAGCTTGTGCCCGTTACTCAACCTGCCAACCCCTGATGGTCCACGTGACCATCGCTCGCCCCGTGCCTGTCCGTGTTGCGTGGCTCTCTGATTCGAGTGCTCCCATCTATCTTCCAAGCTCTCATTGTAGTTGCAAGCGTGCGGTTTGTCTCTCTCTCGTGCTTGATCCAGAAGTGGTGTTAGATCGTGTAGATGGAGTCTAATTTTTTTTTTCTTAAACGATAATCCACCACCCGTCGGAGCCTATCCAATCAATTGAATGGAGATATAATTCCTCGTGCCGCGGTGGCTATGAGATGTTAACTACCTCGCCTGGTGTACAGGAGGTCGTGGGTTCAATCCTGACCCTGATGCCTGCTGTATATTTGGAGTTTGTAGTGTCGTCATCATAACGGTGGCTATGAGATGTTAACTACCTCGCCTGGTGTACAGGAGGTCGTGGGTTTAATCCCGACCCTGACGCCTGCTAAATACTTGGAGTTTGATTGTCTCTGTCCTTTGGCCACGGATTTTTCTCCGGATCCCTCCGGTTTTACCCTCAAATTTAGAAACATGCAGCTGTGATATTTGGCTGCTATCATTTTCCACGTGATAAGCCACGTCGAATCGTCATAATCTTTTACTTTTGACTCGAGGAATCCGATGAGCCGTAAAGCTCTTTTTGCATCCCCATAGATTTCTGATAGGGGGGGGGCCACGGGGTCTGAACGTTACAACATCAATGCAGAAACACGATGGAGAGGGGGGGGGGGTGCAAAGGATAGAAAATTTCAAGCAAATCACACACGTGAGAAATTTTAGAATTAGATTTTAAAAATGTTACGCAATCCCCTGGTTTTCGTGTGATACCCCCGTTGGCCACTAGGCCGCTCCTGGTCACGCGGCAGTTGAAGTGGCGGCCACTAGGGCGCGCTGGGGCCACGCTTGGTCCATGCTGGGACCACGCTGGTCCACCCTTGGTCCATGCTGGGACCACGCTGGTCCACCCTTGGTCCACGCTGGGACCACGCTGGTCCACCCTTGGTCCATGCTGGGACCACGCTGGTCCACCCTTGGTCCATGCTGGGACCACGCTGGTCCACCCTTGGTCCATGCTGGGACCACGCTGGTCCACCCTTGGTCCATGCTGGGACCACGCTGGTCCACCCTTGGTCCACGCTGGGACCACGCTGGTCCACCCTTGGTCCATGCTGGGACCACGCTGGTCCACCCTTGGTCCACGCTGGGACCACGCTGGTCCACCCTTGGTCCATGCTGGGACCACGCTGGTCCACCCTTGGTCCATGCTGGGACCACGCTGGTCCACCCTTGGTCCATGCTGGGACCACGCTGGTCCACCCTTGGTCCATGCTGGGACCACGCTGGTCCACCCTTGGTCCACGCTGGGACCACGCTGGTCCACCCTTGGTCCACCCTTGGTCCATGGCAGGTCACACGGCAAAGGTCGCATACAAAGGTGGCCGGGTGTGTGTGTGTGGACTTGGATTGGCCTATTCAGCCATCTCCGCACTCGTCAAAACCCAACTTTGCACTCTTGTTGTGTGTTTGTAATGTTTGTCGTAACGTTCTTACCCTGTGCCCCTACTGGAGCTCTGAAAAGAGAGCGTCATAGTTAATCGGATTCCTCCTGCAGTCCTAAATATACTGTCTTTCTCCTTTGTCGGCGCAGTCTCTGATGGAGTTGCACAAGCGGCGCAAGGCGCTGTCGGAGCCGGAGGCGCGCTACTTCCTGCGTCACGTGATCCTGGGCTGCCAGTACCTGCACACCAACAAGGTCATCCACCGTGACCTCAAGCTGGGCAACCTCTTCCTCAACGACGACATGGAGGTCAAGATCGGTGAGCTTGCCCGCACCCTTTTGCTCGCTCGCCCCATCTCGCCCGCCCCCTCTCACACTTCTGAAAGAGCTCCATCACTCCGTGGTGGGTCTTACCTGGTAGAATAAAAACAGGTCTACAGTTTGATTGCCCGACACGAAGGCCTCCCCCTCGCCGCGAGATCGCCACACGTCGTTCGCTTATCGGACGCTCGCCCCCTCGCTCGCCCGCAGGAGACTTTGGGCTGGCGACGCGTATCGAGTACGATGGCGAGCGCAAGAAGACTCTGTGCGGGACTCCCAACTACATCGCCCCGGAGGTGCTCATCAAGAAGGGCCACAGCTACGAGGTGGACATCTGGTCCATCGGGTGCATCATGTGAGCGCCACGCGCCGCCGCCGGCCATGAGCAGCACAACGCCCACACAGAATCTGAGACCGCTCGAGCCGCCTCCTGTTGTACACCACGTGACACCCCACTCTGACCCCCCCCCCCCTCGCTGCTGCAGGTACACTCTGCTGGTGGGGAAGCCGCCGTTTGAGACGAGCTCGCTCAAGGACACGTACGCACGCATCAAGCGCACAGAGTACACCATCCCCAAGGTGATCATCGCTCACCCGCTCGCTCACTCGTTCGCTCGCCTTCCCGCGCTATGAACCCAGCGACCCGAGTTCACTCCCCGTTCACGGCCACCAACACCGGATGACGAATATCTTAACCGGTCCCGTGCCTCCACTAGGTCGACTCGGCCTTAAATGAATACCCGGCGCGGTGTGTAAACATCGCCATTGGGGGGAGGCGGCCGGGCGTCGTGGTGCTGGCCACCCACCCCCTTGTGTGTTTAGTTGTCCTCCCGCACCTCCGATCGATCGTAACACGGACTGTCCGCTACGTACGGCGCAAACGCCGTTCGGCACGCGCACGTGTGCCGTCGCCAGCCTTTGCCCGCGGTGCTGCTGTGGCTGTACAACGCCGAGCGCTCGACAGCTCGCGCGTGGTGCCACCGCTGCCGCCGTGTCACGGCCGTGAGGGCTCACCGGCCGGTGTGGTGTGTGTGGCGTGCGCTCGCTCGTTCCCAGGCCGTGAGTGCCGTGGCCGGGGCGCTCATCGCCCGCATGCTGCGCTCGGAGCCGCTGCTGCGGCCGTCGATTGCGGAGCTGCTGCAGGACGAGTTCTTCACGACGGGCTACCTGCCGGCACGCCTCCCCACCACCTGCCTCTCGATGGCGCCGCGCTTCTCGCTGGCGCCGCAGCCGCAGCTGCCCCCCGCCTTCTCGGCCATCGCCGCCATCACTGGCGGCGGCGGCGTTGGCGTCGCTGGGACCGCCGCGATGCATCGCAAGCCGCTGCTGGAGCTCAACAAGGGTGAGGGAGGCGTGGCGCTCGTTGGGGGGGCTTGTGGGTGATTGGGGGAGCCACGGTGGCAAGGAGATGTGAACTACCTCGCCTGGTGTGCAGGAGGTCGTGGGTTTGATCCCGACCGCTGACGCCTGCTGCTGCTGCGGTATATTTGGAGTTTGCGTGTCTCTCTCTCATCATCATCACGGTGGCTAGGAGATGTTAACTACCTCGCCTGGTTTGCAGGAGGTCGTGGGTTTGATCCCGACCGCTGACGCCTGCTGCTGCTGCGGTATATTTGGAGTTTGCGTGTCTCTCTCTCATCATCATCACGGTGGCTAGGAGATGTTAACTACCTCGCCTGGTTTGCAGGAGGTCGTGGGTTCGATCCTGACCCTGACGCCCGCTGCTGCTGTATATTTGGAGTTTGTGGTGTCTCGTCATCATCATCATGGTGGCGAGGAGATGTGAACAACATCGCCTAGTACGCAGGACGTCGTGGCTTTGGTTCCAACCCTGACGCCTGCTGCTGTACTCTTAGGTTTTTTCGGTAAAGTCACGTAGGTAAAAAATAAAATTAATGAAAGTAAAATAAAAAATCACGACGTTTTGGGGCAACACAAGCTTCCATCTTCAGGTGGAACCGTCACAGCACGATTGCTGTATGCTGCTGTAAATTTGGAGTTTGCGTGTCTCTCTGTGTGATTGCGTGGAATTTTCTCCCGGGTCCTCCCGGTTTTCCCTCCACATTTTAGAATCGACATCGCCACACGTTTTAGAGCATTTGGCTGCTTTAAATTTCCACATGCGCCGACTCCGTTGATCTACCATTTGAGATGACCGGGTCGCGTCTGAAAAATAGCTACACAGCTCCGCATGGGGGGGACCTTGCCTGGTGAAAAAATAAATCTTGAAACTAATGGCACGCGGGTAGCGCCTGGTGGGCTTGTGGGCGATTGTCACGGAAGTGGCGGCGGTGGCGGCGGCCGCCGGGAGCCGCTAGTTTGTGGGCCGACGCCGCCGTGCGCCGTCACGGTTGAGCGCTCGCCGTGCGTGTGAACTTGTTCTGCACCGTGCGGGGCCAGCCGTGCTGACCACCGCGGCGGGGGGTGCAGGGGAAGGATCTGCCGGAGGTTGTTTTGTTGTTGGGTTAAATCGCATAAATACTAAATGTGTCCGTTAAACCCGCCCGCCACCTCTGGGCTAATGGGATGCCCAAAGGCCGTATCCATAACGCCCCTGCCCTTCCCGGTCCTTCCCTGCCCTTCCCTGCCCCTTGTGTCGGACCCCCTGCCCACAACCCTGGCCCAATTGCAAACCCCTGCCCACCCCCTCCTTGGCCTACCCCTAACCGTGTCGCTGTTGGTGACCCCCTGACCCCTGTCCCAGAAGACTCGGGGGCGCCACGCAAGGCCGAAGAGAAGAAGGAAGTGCTGCCGGCGCCCAGGTGAGCACGGGGGGTGGGGGTGAGGGGGGCTGGGGGTGGGGGGGGCTGGGTGAGGGGTGAGGGGGGGGTGGGCGATGGGGGGGGGGGTGGCAAGCCTGGCAAGGGCGCTGCGCTACGAACCCGGCAACCCGAGTTGAATTCCCACTCGTGAAATATCTGAACCGGTCCTGGGCCTCCCCTAGGTCGACTCGGCCTCAAATGATTACCTGGTGCGGCGTGTAGCAAACATCGCCGCCGGGGAGACAAAGGCGGCGGGGTGTGGTGCTGGCCACCCACCCCCTAGGTGGTGCTCTAACAGCACTTGCCCCAACAGTCTGTTAAGGCTACATGGGGGATCTTTGTGGGGTTTGAGTGGTGAAGTATGGGTGGTAACCCCCGACCCCCATCTCCCAGTGACGTGGTGGCTGCGGACGTGGTGGGCAGCTCTGACTACTACCTCACGGACCTCTTCTCTCAGCTGAGCCGCCTGCTCGAGGCCAAGCCCTCGGAACGTCTGCTCGTGCGCGAGGGTGAGCAGCAGTCTCGCCTCGCCCCCCCCTCACACTCCTGCCACAGTCCCCCGCCCAATCCCGTGTCCCCCCTCTCACCCCACCCTGTCTCACCTCGTCTCACCCCGTCGCGTCTCTGCCCCCAGACGAGGCAGAGGACCCCGCCGCGGTCCCCGTGCTCTGGGTGAGCAAGTGGGTCGACTACTCGGACAAGTACGGCCTCGGTGAGTCGCCCGTAATCCGTGCACGCATGTGTGGGGGGGGGGGTACGGGGTGTGTGTGTGGGGGGTTGGGGGGTTCGGGCTGTGTGCATGTGGGGGGGGGTACGGGCCGTGTGCGTGTGGGAGGGGGGGGGGGTACGGGCTGTGTGTGGGGGGGGGTATGGGCCGTGGGGGGGGGGGGGGGGAGTACGGGCTGTGTGTGTGAGGGGGGGGGGGTTACAGGCCGTGTGTGTGTGTGTGTGTGCGCGTCACGGGGTGCGCCGCGTGGTGAAAACGTCGTCGTGCTGCGTGTGTGGTTGCCAGTCATCTCGGTCGGTCGACCCGCGGCATCTGGGTCTGTCCCGTGACCTGCCAGTGGGCGTTCGACACTTCGCTTGGCCTTGACGTGCGCACGGCCTGGCACAAGCGCCGTGGTGACATCGCCGCCGCTTGGTGGTGGCGGTGGTGGCGGTGTGTGCGTTGGCCAAGTGACGTAGCCCGCACGCCCAGCCACACCGCATGCTTCCCAAGCATCGTCTCTTTGGCCGGATAGAGGGGGCTAAATGGGCACGGCACAGGCTAGGGGTGAGGTGATGGGTGAGGTGGAGGGCGAGGTGGGTGTGGCACAGGCTAGAGAAGAGGTGATGGGCGAGGTGGGTGAGTGGCACGGGCTGGAGGCGAGGGTGATGTGGTACAGGAGGCCTGGGGGGTCCTTGCCGTGGACCTCCCGTCGTCGAGCCCTTTCGCTCGTGTGATGCCATCCGATTGCAGCACGGTTGAAGTTCAACATTCGTTGAAGCGCCAGCGCCGTGACGGTGTTAACGTTGCGTGTGCGTGTGTGCGTGTGTGTGGTGTGCGTTAACGGCGTGTGTGTGCGTGTCGCAGGCTACACGCTGTGCGACAACAGCGTGGGGGTGCTGTTCAACGACTCGACGCGCATGCTGCTCTACCCGGACGGGGAGCAGATCCAGTACATCGAGCGCGACCTCACCGAGTCGTTCTTCTCCATGCACTCGTACCCCACGGCACTCACCAAGAAAGTGAGCGTCGCCCCGGCTACCTACCCCCCCCCCCCCCCCCCCCCTCCGTTCTGGGTGTGAACCACCACCCCTGACAGCGGCACCGGCGAGACAAAGGTGGTTGGGGGCGCGGTGCCAGCCGCCCATGCCCCTTGGCCCCCCCCCTCCCCTCGAGCCCCCGTGCGGTAATCTTTGTCTCCGTCAACGTGCCGTCGATGTTGGCCGTGTGTGCCTGGAGGGTCGCCTTTCGCGACCCTGGCGTGGGCCTCGCCCCATCGGGATCCGTCTGGGAATCTTTCTTTTGAGGCCGGCGGAATCCGACGCGCTTACGAAGCTTTTTAAATCCTTTATATTAAGTTCGCTTGCTTGCTTGCTTAGGACCGTGCAAATCTTTCGGTCGTTTTTTAACCCACTTCCCGTGATCCAATCGAGCTGACATTTTCCACACAGACTCGTTGTGCGTGACAAATGTTCGTGAAATTTTTTTCCCAAATTTTACACTTTTTAGGTAAAAAAAGATTATATGTAACTACCAATTGCCTAATGGTGCAATGCAATCATCTGACCCATAGGTGGCAGCCATCTGAAGCCAGAGGACGAGAGGACTCTAACCGCCACGCATATAAAGGATTTATAGTGAAAAACTTTGTTTTTACGGGTTATACTTATTTCTCTCCCTTTCTTCCCCGCTCCTGAGAAGTCGGGCGGCGGGTTCGAAGGGACGTCTCCCTGCTGCCGCTGACCCCCCCCCCCCTCGTCTCCGCCCCCTCCCCGCGTCGCCAGGTGACTCTCACCAAGTACTTCCACAGCTACATGAGCGAGCACCTGCTCAAGGCGGGCGCCAACATCCCGACGCGCGAGGGCGACGAGCTGGCGCGCCTGCCCTACCTGCGCACGTGGTTCCGCACGCGCTCCGCCATCGTGCTGCACCTCTCCAACGGCACGCTGCAGATCAACTTCTTCAAGGTGGGGGGCGGGGGGGGGGGAGGGCCGGCGTTTTTCGCCCTCCCCGTATGGCCTCGTGGGAGCCTCGGTAGCGATAGTGTTTTTTTTTTAGTAGAGATATTTTTGTTTATTTTTACAGCATTGTGTTATTGTATATTTTAATTTATTTTAGAATTCCATTTTTGTATGTTTTTCTCATTATTCACTTTTATCTTTATTAAATTTTTCTTAATTTAAATAATTATAATCTAGTTTAATTTTCAAAAAATGTTGTCTTAATTTCAATACAAAAATGTAACATTTTTATGAATGTAGTATTATTTATTATTATTTTGAGTTTTTCGAAGCAAATGTGCGGCCCGATTTTTTATTTTTTTTTGCATCACGTTGTGACGCGCGCACAGTCAACCAATAAGCCAAAGCAGTTATGAAAAGCAGGAATTGCATAAAAGATTGGGGGGAGCAGACTTGCAGCCCCCAAACTATCCACGGGGGGGGGGGTCCACAGAAAGTGGGAAGGAGCGACCGACAGAGCTACAGCCGAAACGCGCAGCTGACGCAAATAAAATGGAACGGTAAGGGGCGGCCTCAACGGGCATTTTTGACATTCTGCCCCTCCGAATGTGGCTCCCCGTCTGTAGTGGTTACACCCCCCCCCTATCCTCGGTCTCCTGCCCCCCCTTGCATCCTGATGACTTGTTTCAGGTGTTGTACGACAGTGGAGAGGCGGGGGGGGGGGGGGGGACCACCTGGCCTCGAATTACCCCCCACCCTTTCCGACGAGAGCTCGTGGCTCCGGTGTCAGATTTTAAAAATTTATTTTTAGTTTTTCTTCCAATTCTTCCGTGCCAATGGCATTGCATGCACGTCATCGAACGGAACCAGAAGACCGATTGGCGTTTACACGCGAACGTCATTCTAACGGGAAAAGGGGTTAACGAGCGCTCGGAGGGGTGCGGGTCTCCGTGCGTATCATCGCCGAAACTCCGACCTACCAACAAACCTTCCACCCCCTCTCCCTCCCCACCCACCCACCGCAGGACCACGCCAAGATCATGCTGTGCCCGCTGATGGGCGCCGTCACGTACATCGACGAGAAGCGCAACGCGCGCACGCTGCGGCTGGCGCTGCTCGCAGAGCACGGCTGCAGCGCCGACCTGATGAGCCGCCTGCGCTACGCGCGCTCCATGGCCGAGAAGATGCTGAGCAGCCGCTCTGGCGCCGTGCGCGGGAAGATCGCCGCTCCCTGAGCCACGTGTGTTGCCCCCCGCCACCACCACCGCTCGTTCGCCTGCCGCGCTGCGCTCTGTCGGGCATCGCCGTTCGGGAGGATGGAGCGGTGCCGGGAGAAGTCGTCACCCGGAGCGCCGCCACCACCCCTCCCCCGCCTCGCCCTTGTCCACCATGCGCCGTGCGGGAGACTCGTCAGAGTGGGGGGCCCGGCCCCCCCCCAACATACACACCCCCCCACACACACACACACCTCCACCCCCCCCCGTGTAGCGATCGTGGGGGTTTGGTTTTGTTTTAGTTGTCGTTTTTTTTGTCATCGAAAGAGTTTCTCTTTTATCACTCGTTTTAAAAAAATTGTGCGCAGGCCGGGTGGGTGTCTCTCTTTCCCGGGTGTGGGGAGCTGGGGAAGGGGGAGGAGGGTGGTGCTTTGGGGCCTGTGGCGGCACAACCGGTGAGCCTTGCGGTTTTGTACATAGGGCTGCGGAGAGAGCGCTGTACAGACGCGTGTGCGAGTGTGTACACGTGCGTGTGCGAGTGTGTACACGTGCGTGTGCGTGTGAGACGTGTACATGTGCGAGTGTACACGTGCGGCTGTTTTTACTTCTCCCCAGCAGCCCCTCTGTTTGAGCTGCTGCGGCTGCTCTCCATCTTCCCTTTCACTCGAATTTGCTCTCAAAATGATCTCGCCGTCTTCACGTTTGCGGACATTTATTAATAAAAAGAGTTTACATTTTATGGCCTGGGGTCTGTGTTCTTGTCGGTTAAAAAAAACACACAACTTAAAGGCGCAGCCCTGCAACTGTCAGCTGGCGCTACTGCTGGCGGAACCCAGGGCTTCTGCTCGGGAGCCACGTGGTCCGCTCTTGCACGATGTCCACACGCTGTGAGGCTGGTGGACATACCTATGATTTACCCACCTGACGCTCCATCTCCACTGCACTGGGGTGTGGTCAGCATTTCACCTGTCCATGCAATAATCTAGTCATCAACTCGCACGCCCAAGCAACCATCCGCTCGCTTGCCCACTCACTCGCCCACCCACTCGCTCGCTCACCCACTCGCTCGCTCACCCATGCAACCATCCAGTGGCTCGCTCACTCGATCCCCACTCATCCATTCACAAAGGCATCTCCCGCATAACCATGAACAGGCTTGGGGCGAACTCTGTTATAGCCGGCACGGCAACACGAGGGTTGGGGTGGCCAGTACCTGCACCTAGCCTGCCTTTGTCTTCACCGTGCTGATGTTTACACAATGAAGGGGAGTCCCAGGATAAATCCAGTCGCTCTCTACCCGGGGGCCATGTGAGCTGAGATATTTCTCCGCGTGTCTCATGGGGAGGGTTGTCATGAGCCGCCACTTCCTCGTCCTGCCTGGCTTGTCAAAGTGCCGCCTCTTGCCAAGCTCGGCTTGGGATTGAGCCGCTTGGCCTCAATGGAAGATCCTGAAAGGGGGTTGGGGGGGGGGGGGGTATAGCTGGGACCATGACCCTTAGCTTGGTGAGCAAGGTGGCATTGAGCCTTGGCTAGAATGGAGTCACACTTCTCTTTTCCCAAGTTCATAACCATCTTGGCCAATGCCACAGACACTACGGTAGACTGTTGGTTAAGTGGCTGACACCAATTTACGGCGTTTTGCCTCCCATAGGGGACCCCAGGGTGTTGAGTGACGGTGTATTTATGCTGTGCACCAATCTGTCAATCCGAGCTTGTGAGCAGGGCCAAGTCCATGCCCCTGGCCCAATCGGTGATGCCCATTTGAGCGTTTAGACCTCAGCTGGAGCATTGTGAACATTGTCTGTTGTGCAAGTGGAAACGGCTCCCCGATTAAGTTTTTTTTGGGTAAAGGTAGTTTTTGTGGAACGGATTAAACATTGCGAACCATGGGACTCATCAGTGGTGCTGCAGGCTGGGCTGTGTCGTGGCCTCCAGGCTAGTGCTGTTCACTTGGCAGGAGATGAGTCGGAGGGTGTTGTTATAGGCAAAAGCAGAGTTTTATTTACAGTGGTTTCAGAAGTACAAATCAAGTTAAATACACGCATGCGCACAAACGTGCACCATCACCACCACCACGTCGAAATCTGCACGAGTAGATTGAGGCGGTGGCTTCCTGTAAAAATGTTTTTTTTTTGCTTTTTAAAACTTTGGTCAATTTCATTATCTCAAAAAAAAAGATAACAAGGGAGCTCCCAACACCATCACCATTTAAATAAGCACTTCACTGTCAGCAGTCTGGGGCCACCCACAAACCCCACCCACAAACCCCACCCACAACCCCAGCAGGGGCAGCCAGTCACACCAGCTTTATTGGAGGCACTTTGGGCCACAAGTTTTGCAGGGTCCACTCCTCTCAGCATCCTCGTGTGGCAAAGTTTGTTGGGGGAAGAGCGGCAGGGCGAGTGGGCTTGCTACCCCTGCCCCACCACTTCCCACAGCAGTCTGGTCAAGGCCTCCAGTGCCACGGCCTGGGTCCATGCTGCCGTCTGTCCGTCCACTCACTTCCCCCATCTGTCCATTAGCTGCTCTCTCCCCGTCACGCCTCCCCCGCTGGCCCGCACCCTTCGCCGGCCATGCCAGGCTCGGGACACCAACCAGAGCTGCTGCATCTCCCAGGATGCAGCAGCAGATGCAGATGCAGCAGATGATGCAGATGCAGCAGCAGCAGCAGATGCAGCAGCAGCAGATGCAGCAGCAGCAGCAGATGCAGCAGCAGCAGATGCAGCAGCAGCAGCAGCAGCAGCAGATGCAGCAGCAGCATATGCAGCAGCAGCAGCAGATGCAGCAGCAGCAGCAGCAGATGCAGCAGCAGCAGATGCAGCAGCAGCAGATGCAGCAGCAAGCAGCTGTAGCCGCTCTCCCCGCATCGCTGGTGCTCAAGCCTCCGTCGGTGGCGCCAGCAGTGGCGCTTGGGCCACCGTGGAATTGGTGGCATTGGTGGCATTGGTGGCCCCGGCGGTTGCGGCGGCGGCGGCGGTGCCGACAGCGGTGGTGCCGGGGGCCCCGGCGGTGGTGCCGGCGGTTGTGGTGGCGGTGGTGCCGGTGGCGGCGGCATCGGCGTCCTGCCGGTGCTCCTCGTGGTGGTAGTAGGCGTGGAAGAGGCGCTCGTGTGCGCAGGCGGCCATGGCGGTGTAGGTGTGCAGCAGGAGGAGCGGGAACCGCGACGTGAAGTAGGAGACAAAGTCGTCGGGCACGGCGCCCAGCGTCTGCTGCACGTCGCTCGGCAGCTCGCGATAGTGGTGCTTCTACAGCGGCAACAGCAGCAGCAGCAGCAGCAACAACAGCAGCAACAGCAGCAACAACAACAGCAGCAACAGCAGCAACAGCAACAACAGCAGCAGCAACAACAACAACAGCAGCAACAGCAGCAGCAACAACAACAGCAGCAGCAACAGCAGCAACAGCAACAACAGCAGCAGCAACAACAACAACAGCAACAACAGCAGCAGCAACAACAACAACAGCAGCAACAGCAGCAGCAACAACAACAGCAGCAGCAACAGCAGCAACAGCAACAACAGCAGCAGCAACAACAACAACAACAGCAGCAGCAACAACAACAACAGCAGCAACAGCAGCAACAGCAACAACAGCAGCAGCAACAACAACAACAGCAACAACAGCAGCAGCAACAACAACAGCAGCAACAGCAGCAGCAACAACAACGACCTGAAGTTGGTGGCTGTGCTGCACGCGGTCGGCCAGCCCCCGTGCAGGCAGCAGCTAGGGTTGGTGGCTCACGCTAGCACGCGCACGCACCCAGCAGAACTCCCCCCCCCCCCCCCCCCCAGCCGCAGATATCGGAGGTTCGCTCGGTTTCCTAGATCATGGCGGTGGGGCAAGTGGGGCGAGTTTAGATTTGTATGGAAAGGGAGGCCGAAGTGAGGGGAACTTCCCCTGGCAAGCGCGAGGTCCTCTCCTCCCACACGAATAAACAAACACTCGCTAAATGCGTTGGCCAAGCATCTCTTATACACAGGGGATCACAGAGCTTGGGCGAGCGATGGTAGCGCCGCTTCTCACGGAGACGCAACGACCAGGGACACACGCAGCAAACAGCGGCTCTGGGGGGGTGGGGGGGATTGCATGGGGAGGGGGAGGGGGGGGAGGGGGGGTTGCATGGGGGGGGGGGGAGGGGGGTTGCTCAGAGCCCCGAGCAAGCGGTGGGGAAATTCCACATTCCCGTGGCGAGTGGCGACCCGGGCCGAGTGAGGCCTCACCTTGTTGCGCATGGCGCGCAGAAGGTCGCGCACAGAGCTCCCGCGGTACGACCGGAACTTCCTCAGGTCTGCGGGGACACGGGGACGTGAGACACGGGGACGTGAGACACGGGGACGTGAGACACGGGGACGTGAGACACGGGGACACGGGGCTATGAGACACGGGGACGTGAGACACGGGGACGTGAGACACGGGGACACAGGGCTATGAGACACGGGGCTATGAGACACGGGGACGTGAGACACGGGGACATGAGACACGGGGACGTGAGACACGGGGACGTGAGACACAGGGACACAGGGCTATGAGACACGGGGCTATGAGACACGGGGACGTGGGACACGGGGACACAGGGCTAAGAGACATGGGGCTATGAGACACGGGGACACGGGGCTAAGAGACACGGGGCTATGAGACACGGGGACGTGAGACACGGGGACGTGAGACACGGGGACACAGGGCTATGAGACACGGGGCTATGAGACACGGGGACGTGAGACACGGGGACGTGAGACACGGGGACACAGGGCTATGAGACACGGGGCTATGAGACACGGGGACGTGAGACACGGGGACACGGGGACATGAGACACGGGGACGTGAGACACGGGGACGTGAGACACGGGGACGTGGGACACGGGGACGTGAGACACGGGGACGTGGGACACGGGGACACAGGGCTAAGAGACATGGGGCTATGAGACACGGGGACACGGGGCTAAGAGACACGGGGCTATGAGACACGGGGACGTGAGACACGGGGACGTGAGACACGGGGACACAGGGCTATGAGACACGGGGCTATGAGACACGGGGACGTGAGACACGGGGACACAGGGCTATGAGACACGGGGACATGAGACACGGGGACGTGAGACACGGGGACGTGGGACACGGGGACACAGGGCTAAGAGACATGGGGCTATGAGACACGGGGACACGGGGCTAAGAGACACGGGGCTATGAGACACGGGGACGTGAGACACGGGGACGTGAGACACGGGGACACAGGGCTAAGGGACACAGGGCTAAGAGACACGGAGACGTGAGACACGGGGACACAGGGCTAAGGGACACGGAGCTATGAGACACGGAGACGTGAGACACGGAGACGTGAGACACGGGGACGTGAGACACGGGGACACAGGGCTAAGGGACACAGGGCTAAGAGATACGGGGCTATGAGACACGGGGACGCAACACCCAGGTAAGAAAACGGCGGCTCTCGTGGCTCCAGCGGAGCGGTCCGCTGGAGGCTGTGGGGGCGTCACGCACCGGTCTGCAGCGGCGGCGTGATGCGGGAGCGCCAGTCGTCGTGCACGACGCCGCGGCCGCCCCTCTCCAGCGCCCGCACCGCCGGGGACTCCAGCGGCTCCTTCTCCAGCCGGTCGCTCACGTCCTGCACGCGGCACGGGGGGGGGGGGGGGGGGGGGGAGGCGAGGTGAGGGGGGAGGGGGGAGACGGAAGTAGGGGGGGGAAGGTGAGAGTGAGGGCGAGGTGAGGGGGGGGG